TATATTTTCTGGAAATATATATCTGACATATTTCATAATATATATTTTTTAGATATAGATATTGGAATATATATTTTCAGATATTTCAGTTTTTAATTAAGTAGGAACTAAGTCGGTCGGTTTCGATTTTCACACAAGAAAACCGAAACCAACCCGAACCATTGGTTTATGAATTTGTACAACCCAAAACCGACCGGTACTGATGAAAACCCGACCGACTCAGATTGGGTCGGTTCGAGTTGGTCGGTTTGGTCAGGTTAGGCCTTCTTATGAACAGCCCTACTTCCATAGGAACTCGGATCTGCTACTCACGGACACGCTACCCCATATACCCTTAACACTACAGCCGTGAGTATTGGAAAAATGTTTCCCAAATGCTTTTGAAGTGTCTTGTGGGTTGGTTTCTCCCTACTAGGTAGTGGATCGGGACTCCTTTCAAGGAGATAGGACCTGTCACTCACAGAGCGCACTTTACACCAACTTCACAGCATGTTTCAGCCGTTCATTGAAAATATTTTCCCATGAATAAAAATTTACAATTACATAGATATTCCAGACATACAAGTTACAACCGAAATGTGCTATGAAATCGGTGTGAGACACATTCTGTGAGGAGTAGATCCGAACTCCTTCCAAAAGATATTGGATCTGCTACTCACAACACACTTCACAACACATTTCAATTGTGCATTGGAAATATTTCCCCATTGAATAAAACTTTATAATTACAGAGATATTCCAGAGATACAATTGAAACATGCTATGAGGTTGGTGTGAGGCACATTCTGTGAAGAGCAGATCGAACTCCTTCCAAAGATCATATATCAGACATTATTTTTCTGTTAAATGGACATAGACTTAACAAGATTATCATAATACCCTTCTATTCATTTCTACCATTCAAGCCAAAATAACCCATGATCATTCACTTGATCTAGAGGTGAATGCCAAAGCTTAAATTTTTATGTTGACATGTTGTGAAGAGTTCAGATATGCTCTTAAACATCTCGCATAGTTATATGTTATTATTAGAAGATGTTTTCAATACATGGTGGGATATGGCTTGTAGATCAGTGTGAGACAGATCCCTATTCTGTGTTGTGAAATGAATGAACAACATAAAACAGCATAAAGAAATGAAATAATGGTATTTTTGTCATATAAAAACTAGCTATTAGGTTGATTAGTTTGTTGGGGTTAATCTTGTAATAAAATAAACATTAATGGTGCATGCCAACAATTTCTGTCATGTTCACTAACAGTGTCCTACCTAAAGGTACAGGTATCTTATAAGTTAAAAAATAAAAGTGTCTGGTAGTGGGGTGTTTGGACATATCAAAAGTCAAGGTACGTTAAAAGAGAATCTAAAAAAAGTGAAGGATGGTTTTATAGGAAAAAAGGGAACCTAGCACACTCTGAATCAATGTTTTGGAACCTCATTGATTCGGACGGTCGAAACGGTCAGACTGTAGCTTGAGAACCGTTCAGGCAACTAGTTCTATTTTACCCCAAACATGACTTTTGGCCAAAAACCATTGAATTAATCAACGACCCACTGACCTAAACAGTCAAACCTCGACCCATTCAATAATTTTTAGTCATTTTTTATTTTATTTTGTTTTATTTTTTCGTTAAAAAGAGCCATCCATTCAAACCAAATGATTGAACTATTAACCCGGAAACTGGTGATTAGAACGGTTCTAAGTCAGTTTTTAAAACCTTGCTGTGAATTTGGATAAATACCACCTGATTAGTTATCTCTTAATGATACCGGTTGATTGGCCGTGTCTTTCTAGTATCATAGTCAAACCCAAAGAAAAAAAATGCAAAATAAAACAAAAGCAACCACACCTATCAATTAGGAATATCTCCTTTGTCATTCATGGGAAATGTTCCCGACGTGGGGCTGTATTGTTAGGATGCTTGTTGGAAGCATTTGTTGGTAGCAGATTTAAGCTCAAATCTAAGGTGCAAACCCGTGTGAAGATGCGAATTTAAAAGAAAAAGAATCCCATATTTAGATACAAGAAAATTAATACAAAATGATAAAGGACACAATGAACTAGTATAAGTGGAAATGGCAATGAGGCTCCTCTCGTAATAATACAAAGAACAAAGAGAAAAAAAAAAAAACAAAAAACAAAAGAATCACTCTGCTAGTAAAAATATTATTTTCTCATCCAAAACCTTACCTCTAAAACTATGATAGTAATAATCAAGATAACAAAAATGACTCCATATCCAAATTTCCATTCATTCCCAGCATCACTGATATCAATTCCATAGAAAATATTTGCTATTCCTAGCAAGATTGCACCCCTTCCAAAGTAGTGATGGAACCAGTTCCAATATCTTCTGACCTTCGATGCCTTGTTGGGTCGAGCTAGAAATGCTGAAACCTGCAAAATTCAGGAAGGACAGTGTCAAAGATGATCGATCATGAAATCAAATGTATGGGGCACAGACAATCAGATGCTACAATCTGCAAATGAAGCCATGGACTGGATTTGGCCTTTTTCAAACCTGGCCCAGGATCTAAAAGGTTGGATCAAGGCTATATGGGCTCTGTCCACCACACCCATGAAGGTAGAAGTCAATGAAGGCAGCATCTAATAACTAGCTTGCTTATGACATCGTATCTCTTAGAGGTTTTATAAATTATTATGGTAACTAGACGTCACATGGTGCAGCCCTAATAACTAGCCACGTGGCAACTGAAGGCAGGATATTATACGAAATTAATATGACAGCATCTTATGACATCGTGTCTCTTAGAGGCTTTATAAATTATTATGGTGACTACACATTTCAAATCATGGGTGCACCTTGCAAAGCCTAGTGCAGCCCTAATAACTAGCCACGTGGCAAATGAAAACTTCCTTATTTTCTTTATTTTCTTTTATTCTTCAGACTGAAATTTAAAGCAACAGGGTTAGCTCTTAGTTATCACATGGTTGGTCTAAATGCTTGTAACCCAATTGATGGTCTGGATTTGCCAAATCATCTCCACATGGCTAGCTATTATAAATAGAGGTGTAATAGTCATGCAATGTAGAACACCAGTTTTCAAGGAAAAGAAATGTCACCTAAATAAATTGTGCCAAGTGGGTGTAATAAATTATTAGAGTTTATTAAATATAAGATTACAACTCATGAGAACACCCACAATTTTGACTAGGATGAGTTTCAATTTGATCCTTTTTTTTCGTAGCTGATCAGTCCAAATACAGAAACATTGAACTATTATCTTTATCTTTAAAAGAAAGGGAAAAGGTATGGAGAATCAACAAAGAAAAAGAAGGGAAAACGAAAGAAATAAGGAAAGGTAAGAGCTTGAATCCACCATAGAACAAGTCAAAAGGGGCAAAAAACAGGAAGTGTTCTTTATCAAATCTTGTGAAGTGAAGAAAAAAGAACATGAACAGTGAAAAAATCCTTTACCATGGATGGAGTTTTCAATGAAAAGTAGAAATTTTAAGTCATATCCACTTAAAAAGGAATTGGAGATGAGAAACCAAATGGAAGTGCAGAAGTAGAATTTCTTTTCTAGGCAAAACTAAATGGGCAAACCAGTTTTAGGACCAATCATATTGACTTCAACATTTATAGCAAGAAAGAAGACAAAACAGAGACCAGTTCTGCAAGGTTTTAGATTCCCTTGTTTGGGTCCAAGGTACTCTCCCCCATGCAGAATCCAAAAGTTGAAGAACTATAACCCTGTTTTCTTATCTGCAAATTCAGCTTTTTATACAGAACCCAGAACCCAAATCACAGCTAGTTACCTGGCAGCACCCAAGCGCAAGGACAAGGATCCCAATGGCCTTATGGGTGTCGACATCGCTACTGATTTGATCTTCCAAGATAAACCCAGTGATTATTCCTGCTATTGCCAAGACAAAACCAGCCAACTGAATGGTAAGATGTGTGTAGAACCAAGTGGGATCATAGTGCTTGAAGTAGCGAGCTATTATGACTCCAATGACAATCAGAATTCCCCATGACAAGATATTTAGAACCCCATGAGCGGTCTTCAGAGTCGATCCTGTGCCCGCTGAACTGCTCTGGCCTGTCCACAACAAACCCAAAACATAAAAACGGGGTTAACAGATTCAAACAGAAACGGAATTACATCAAACACCTGTGTATGACTGTTTTAGGTGGATTCTGATCCAACCCAACCACAGATCGATGCTCTACATTTCATTCCAGAGATTTCTCTCAGATTGCACTCACCCGTGGCAAAATTCAAAGATGTTGAGGTCTCTACCCGGTGCTCGGGCAAGAGATTGTCCGAAGACGGCAGTTTATTCCTTGGGCCGACAGCATAAATCAGCCTAGACTGAGGTTGGTCGGTTGTCAACTGGAAGACGAGGAACAAACGCGATGATTGGGATATAATGGACATGTTTGAAAATTTCAGGCTTCCAGTGTTTGGCATGCAGGAGCCGGAATCCGTCCCCCCAAGATGGTACTGCAGGATGACACCGGCGCCACCGCCGGACGGAACCCACCCGGCAATGGCATCAGTTCCGACCATCCTCCCGTTGGACGAGAACCCAACGGAGACCCAGGAATTGGTGTCCGGCGTTGACAGAATGAAGTTCCATACTGATCCGCTCTGTTTGTACTGAAAAAATAATCCTCCTTTAAGTTACATAACAGTCCAGAGAAATCCAAGCATGAGAAACAAATGATTAACTGATGGGTAAAAAACTTACTCTAAGGATGAAATCCTGAGAAGTCCAAACAGGTTGACAAGATGGAGAAGTTGCGAGAAAGGGAATATTACTCTTACCAAGATTGAGATTGGAGCTGCAAGAATCAGTTTGTGAATTTACAAAGGAAGAGAAAACCAGGATGGAGAAGAAGAAGACTGTGGAAACCAAAGAGGCCTCCATCTCTCTCATAATCTATCTATCTATGTATTCAGTTTGCTTTCTCTCTCTCTATTTCTCTCTGTCTCTGTCTCTCTTTCTCTCTCTCTCTCTCTTTCTCTTTCTCTTTCTCTTTCTCTTTCTCTCTTTCTCTTTCTCTTTCTCTCTCTGGTTTGGGAGTTGGGACTCTGGAAGATGTGTTCTTTGAGGCAGATCCAAAGAATGGTTTGTGACCTGTGAAGCTGAAGGACTGAAGGACTATTTATTCAATTCATGGCTGAGTTGTGACTTGTAAGTATTCATTTTTTCCTAAAATGATAAGAGATGGGTTGTTGTGATTATGGGCTGTAGGGTAGGGACCATAACAATGGTCCTGCAATGAAGAACAGAAGATTCCAATCCACTGTTCTATTAAGTCAAAAGTCGGTGTGATCAAAGGCTTTTCAAGTTTCAACCTTGAAACCTGTTAGGAAAGATCCATCAAGTTTGATGGGCCCTGATCCTGATGATCATCTCCAGTAAAATCTGTTATAGATGGGAATTTTTCTTGTGAGCTTTTTAGGGTAAAAAAACGGGTAAATTGCTGTAGCCGCTCATAAAGTCTGGTTGTTGCTGAAACCTTCTCTAAATTTTGGTAATTGCAATTATCTCCCCTCAACTTTTTTTTTTTTTTTTTGCTTCATGGGGCTACAACAGGGGGTAGACCCTAGTTTTATAGCAAGATGTGCAGTGTTAGATCAAGTTGGTAGGGTGTTGAAACTTGTTTTATTGACGGATGATTCAGCTCCAGAATTATATTTGACAAAAATGTTTATTTTCAAATTTTCTCTTCATATGAAACATTATCCCAACCCTTCCAATCGCTTTTCTTAAATTGATTTATTTTTCAAGTTTAACCTTCATATCAATTACTCAAAAAGCTGTAACTTTAAATTTTCTTTTTTATAAAATTTATATTATTTTTTCTATATAAACTAACCTCAATATTAAATGCATGGTATTTTAGATATTTTTGTCTCTTGATAGAGGGTTCTAGTACTAGAGGAGGTTACTTGCAACTATATTAAAAAATTCTAGATAAGTAATTAAAACTATCAAACTTAACGGAAGGTTTCATCCATTTACCAAAAAATAAGAAAAAAACTTAAAACAGTGACTCAATTGGTACGTTTAGCTGATTTCCTCCAACCACCGACTATCCAGAGGAAAAACTTTAGCTGTTGGGGATCAATAGCCTATGCTGTTGAGAGAATTTCTGGAAATGTCAGATTATCATAAGGATGAATAAATTAGTAATTACATCTTAATTTATTTTAACTAGGAGTTATTAGGGGATTTGGGTGTATCGTCAGAATACCAAAGGAAAATGTTAATTAACACCGAAAAAACGTCATTGGTTGATGAATGTTGAGAATCGTTTTTGCCTAATTTATCATACGGTTTCGATTTTTTAATTACCATGATTTCTTAATTCTATATGGATGTACCGATCGGACCGTCCACATTGGTCATAGCTGTTGATGTATTTGTGCTTTACCCTTCGGTGTATATATACATATTTTAATCTGTAGAACCATAACGGCTATGATCAGCTGTTTCTGATGTCATGGCGTAGCTCAGCAGCATCCAAATAATTTTAAGCCATCTACCCAATGCTTGTTAGTTAGGGTTTGCTTCAAAATTGTCGGATCCAAACCTGTCCGAATCTGAAAACACAAATATGAAGAAGGAAAACAATTTCTAATAATCATTCTATCACAAAATCGTTACATGAGAGATGCTTCACCCCAGTTGAATTTGCATTCAACTAAAGATCGGATCTAGATTTAATCCCATTTTGATCCGATTAAAATTTGAATTTGATAACATTACTACAACGATTATTATTATTATTATTGATGTGGCGCGATCCGGACACTCTTAGCTGGCGGTTGATTGGCTCCTTGCTGGCAACGAGCGGCACCTAAGAAGATGAAAGGAAGGATTCCCGGGGATTTGCCCGATGGGAATACTCCGATGCTTAAGTTAGTACTGTGTATGGGGAGTAAAGAGAGAAACGAAAGCTAAGAGTGGAGGTCGCGCTTTATCACTGTGTTCCAGAGATTAGAGGTCTCAAGAGAGTCTTTCTCTTCTGCCCTGGGGGGCTTTTATAGGAGTGCTCTTGCGAGATCGGGCATAACTGCCACTGGGTCTCTACCACACCCGTTACCTGCCAAGGCTGCGCAGGTGGCCGTTGGGACGTACTCCTTACTCAGGCGAGTGACACGTCCCCAAAGTGATAGGCATGCCTCCGCCTACTGAGAGACGTGGGCGCAGACTGTCGAAAGGACAGGGACTGCGCCGTCAGTTTGGGATGTGGCCCAGTCTGACAGGTATGGCTTATTAAATAGAAGCTTCTTGAGGAAAGCTTGTGCGGCCCATTCGCGAGCTACTCGGCAACGAGCTTTGAATACTTCAGAAGTACCCTTAGAAAAATTGGTCCTCGGATGATTTGCCTTGTTCGGGAGCTCGGGCGAGCTGGCTTTCTTAGATTGCAAGTTAAAATTTACCTCGGAATATCCCTTGAGGTAGCTCGAGGAACTCGGAGCTCGCATTGTGGCGAGCCCCTCCTTTACCTTGCTATCACGTAGCGGGCTGCTTTATGGGCCTATCACTTAGCCGTACTAGAACACAATGCTGAGCTTTCGCTTTCGCTTACGCTGAGTCGGCGTCCACGTGTCGCCGTTTCATAGGTTGGGCCAAATCATCCTTCATTAATTGCCCCCACTCCTCGGGCTAAGAGTGCAGCCTTAGCGCAGGGAGTTTATGAAGCGCAATGGACTGATTTGACCGAAATTCAAACTTGATTGACTGTCTTCAATAAATGTATTTGCGGGAATCAAGAGATCTTCTGACTTCTCTGACTTTTTGGGTTCTGAAAACGTGATGAGGTGGCCTTTAATTCCGAATGTCGTGCTGCTGCGACTACCTTAATCGCGGAAGACGTGCCGCCAATCGCCTTCGATTTTTAGAAGGCGTGCGGTCAGGGCACCCGCGGACTGTTGGATCTGCTTTGATCTGGGCCGTCGGTTTGAGAGGGCGAGGGCTATAAATGGGGAGCCCCCCCTCGGCCCTACCTTCGTCCATGCTATCTTGCTTTGGATTCTGAGGTCGCGTACTTCGCCTAGTCTACTCGAGTTTCTCAATCCGCTCCGTTCCATCTACTCTGGTGAGTCCCAATCGCCGTCAGTCATGTCTGGGTACCCACCCCATACCTACCACAGGGACGATAGCCAAGATGGTGATGCTCCCTCGAGCTCGGGGGGAGCCTGGGAGCATATCCTGGAGGCTCGGGAGGCCTCTAGCAACATGGCGTCCACTTCTAGAGGGAGGGAGCCTGATACCTTTGGCCCTTCTTTAATGACAGCGGAGAGACTCAGGTCTCTAATCCGCTACTTTCGCCTTCCTGAGGACCTGGTTTACAGCCTCCCCACTAGCAACTTCCCTTGGGAGCATGGTCCCAATGACATAGTGATCTTTCAGGAACAGCTCGAGGCAGGCCTGCGTCTTCCCCTGCACCCCTTGATAGTGGAGGTGTTGAACCACTTCAACGTCACCATTGACCAGCTTCACCCTAACGTTGTTCGAAACATGGTTGAGACTATATCCCTATGTCACGAGTACTGCCTCCCTTTGGACCTTGATGTTTTCGCCTCTATCCTTTGTATAAAGAATGTTGCTCCCGGGGTTCCTCCGGAGAGGCGCTTTTATTACCTCTCCCCCCGTCGTGGTTATAAGCTCTTATACGAGCTGTCGAATAAGATTCCCGACTGGAAGTGGGACTACTTTGTGGTCCGTAACCCCGAGGGGTGGCCCTTTACCACCACTTGGAGGAGTGCTATCCAGGACCCGGGGGCCGAGCTGAACCCTGAGATTCGGAAAACGATGCTGTCCTGGGCATCGATAGGCTTCCTCTGCTCGGACTACTTGGCCGAGGAGAAGCTCGTGCAGGCAGGCTTGAGCCCGGGTAGGTCGGTCTTTTAGGTTGCGTAGCGCCTTGTGACTGTTGTGTACACATGCATTCGCGCCGCCTACTCTCGGGCAGCCAGAGACGCCAGGTGAAGAGGGCACGCCACGACCGGACCCCTCCTTTGGGAAGCACTGAGTTCGGGTCTGCCGAGCCGGTCCTGCCTTCTCCACCCGAGGTCCCGACGCCCCCTCTTGAGGGGACGAGTGGGATTAACCCTGGGGGAAGCGAGCTCCCTCAGCCGAGGGAGGTACCCTTTAACCCCCTTTAGCCCCGTCCTTACCCCCGATTCCCAGTGGGAAACTGGGAAGGGGTAAATGATTATCTGGTAGCTCGTCGGAGGAGTCGGAAGGCAATCACCAACGATGAAATCGCTCAGTGGGGAAATATCAAGCCCGGGGATCTCTCCGCGTTCGCCTCTGCTCACTGCATGGTGGTAAGTGGCCTTTTTCCCTTTTTCTCTCTTGTTCTGCCCTTTTCCGCTGTCTTCTGATCTTTCTTTTTCGCTGATAGGTAAACTCTGTCATCCATGCCATGGCTCTCTAGACGCGCATCCATTGCGTCGATGCCCTCGACCAGCGTGCT